ATGAAAATGTCTGTAGCTGGGGTAATGACAGAGCACACGGGCCCGAGACAGGGTTGGGCACTGGGAGAAATAACTGATGATGCAAAGGACATTTCCTATCTTAGCCCCCTCTTTTTTATCTTCAGGTCCTTTCTTCTGCATCTTTCTGCCCTCTGCCTCTTGTTCTCTCTCTTTTGATCCCTTCTGCACCCTATATTGGTGTCAACTAGTGACTGCCAAAGGTGCTCAACTTGCCAACATTATTTCTGTCTCCTGGAGTCAAGACTATGAGCTTTCTTCTCCTTTTCATTCATTTGTCACATTAGTGGCCAGCAAGAGGTTTAGCCCAAATTAATACACAGTGCTCCACCAGCTCTACATGTTTACTGAGCAGTGCTCTGTCCTGGGTGCAGAAGGGAGGAAAAGGAAGCCTTGTCCTTGCCTGCAAGAAGCCTCTGCTCCAACAGAGGAAAACAAACATGCAAACAACTAAATCTAATGTAAGGGGGAATCACAGAGATGGAAACACGGAAGCAAAAGAGATTAAATACCATGAATGGTGATTTCACTAATCCCTACCAGGTCATACTGCAGAGAAACTTTTTTCTAAAAACACTTAAAAAGTCAAGAATGCAACATCAAGATTTATTGGATGTCACGCAAAGAAACATTCAACTTCAAACAGCATCTCTGCTCCCAAATTTTTGCAAGGGGTGGGGAGTTGCACAGCACAATTGCTTATTCTTTAGCAGAAAAGGAGCTGAATAGATGGAAGACCAGAGAAACGGCTTGTAAGTGTTAAGTTTCTGCCGTTGGTGACTCACACTCAAGAATAGCACTTATTTTGCCTCTCCCACAAGATGCTACAAATGAAGCTGCGTCAACTGACTAGGGTTGTGCAGACAAGCTAAGCATCCAGGTCTATACAACATGAAAGGAGCAAGAGGCAGGGATATCTGACTGGCAGGTTATCCCCCTTCCCCTCTTTTAGTTATCCAGGGAATTGAGTTCACAGAAACTGGATATCGGCGAGTGACCTAACTGAACATTTTTCTAGAGTTGGGCAGCCATGACCCATGGAAAGGGCAACCCCATTGGGAGAAGGCAGGAATGCAGTAGGGAGAAGAGAGCCAATTAGAGGCAGCATCTGAGGCCCCGACTATAAATAACTGCTTATCCCCACGTCCCTGTCACCTCCTCTCAAAGTTAGAGTTAGATTCCTGGCCAAAGGCTAAACCTGAATCCACACCCTCCTTTCCCACAAAGCAACCCTGAATGCAGCAGAGGAGCGGGCTGTCCATGCCCAGAGGGGTTTAAAGTCAGGGGCCTCTTTGTTTGATTCCTGCCTTCTATCTTCTATTTCCCAGCTTTTTGGATCTTTGAGCCCTCACTTCTTCATCTGAAAAATAGGGACAATGACGATGATGCTAATAACTACCAGTCATAAAATAGGCCCTGTGCTAAGGGCCTTACATGTATTCCATTTTTTTTGCTAAGGAAGATTTTCCCTGCGTTACATCCATGCCAATCTTCCTCTATTTTTTTTCCTTTTTTTCTTTTTTACTGTGTGGGCCGCCAGCGTAGCATGGCTGCTAAGAGTGGTGTAGGTTCATTCCCAGGATCTGAACCCAGGGCACCAAAGTGGAGCGTGCCAAACTTAACCACTAGGCCACTGGGGCTGCCCCTTTACATGCATTCTTCATTTAATCTTCAGAAGAAAACTTCAAGGCAGTATTAATAATAATTATTATTATAAGTAATAATACTTCCTCTTTTACAGATGAAGAAATTGTAATTCCTAGAAGAGTTACCCATGGTCTAACCTCACTGTCTGAACTCTTGACCCCTTATACTATTGTAATAATATCTGTCTGAATGGGGTATTGAAAGGGTTAACATTAATAGATCTGGACACTAATTAATGCTATTGTCATTATTTTTGGTGCTGTTGTTTTTGTTGCTTTTCTCTCTTCCCAGATGCTGGGAGTTCTGAGGTCTATTAAGCACAAATCATCAGCCTGTACACTGGCAAGTCAGAACCCATGCTTTGGGGACATGTTTGAGCACCAAATACCAAAACTAGTAGACCTCTTAGATGTTTCATTGTTAAAATATAGCTGCTGAGGATCAATGAGAGATCAAGAGATAAGGAAATGGGATTCAGTAGCAGTATTTCAACTTGCTACCTAAAATGATCCCCAAAGCTTATGTTTTAAAAGTTCAGAATAACAAACTATAAGGTACGTTGTTCTTACATGTTTCACTTAGATTCCCTAAGTTAAAATTAGGTATCACGTGCTAACTTTTGACTATTCAAACTGCACTTTTGCTCCACTCTTATTTTCTAATTCACTTTTCATTGTCATGAAATAACTATGGTCAGTGTTTAAATCTCTGACATGCTAAGATGCCAACCAGATTAAACACAGTAAGCATTTGACATACACCTGGAGATTTTCCTGAGTAAAATAAAATTATTATTGCATTTCATCACTTCCTTCCCATTGCCAACTAATGTCCCCATGTCTGAACGGGTCATTTTCAAGCTACACATCTATTTATAATGGTGTGTTCACTGTCTTCCTTCCTCTGGCACATTGTCTGTGACCTTGACTGTTTCTGGACTGATAAAATAGTGCCATCAACATATGTTTATGAAGCTCTAGACATCTTGTAAGAGATTTCATAGTTATTAAAAGCAATAAAGAGTGACAAGGACAGTTCTACACTATAATACTGCTTGTCAAGAGAAAAATGTCACCCTTACCATAAAGTACCCAGAGGCGTACTTAGGAGGTGGAAAAGGGAATGATTTCCTGGGCACGGTGATGCGAGGGCTGGGGTAAAACACGGCAGCAATGGAAGCTGCCTTCTCTCCAATATGCCTGAGGGGAACCTCGGTCCACACAAAAGGGTCCAGGTTATAGTGACGACCCCACGTCTAAACGTGGAGCACCGAAGAATGCCAGGTTAGTGGCACTCATGAAGAGATGCCAGCAGGAATTTCTGTGAGGACTTGAGATAGCTGAATTTTCTGACTTTTCCTAATAGCGTCAGTATGAAAACTAAAATAATGAATCCTCCCAGGCACCGACGAGAACATTAAAGGAATTTAAACTTTCCAGTTCCTGAGTGCTCACACCCGTAAACACAAATCCATACACTCCACACAGCTATAAATAAGTCCCGCCTGAAGGTCTCCTTCCTGTTCACGTTTCTCCATAAAATCTGGTCGGATCGCCTCCCTTTTGTACTAACTTTTGTCCTTGTCATATCTGTCTGTCAGGAACAGGAGGTGAAGAAAGATACAAATAAACTGGGCTCCAGATGCCCGCTCAGTTAACTGCCTCCCTGGAAAAGTCCGCTTTCCTAGGACCAAAGAAAAGATGACCCCGTAACCCAACAGTAGGTCTATGTGGCACTTCAGGGCCCTCTCAGTAGACTGGGGGAGTCTACTGTCCTCCAGCCATCCCTCCAGATCAAACATTTTATGATTCTGGGATGTACGGCCACAGACGAGGAGAATCTCAGTGGTGGCCCCATACAGCCCCTGACCAGGTCCTTGGCCCTTGTCGTGGTGGGGCAGAGCCTGAGCAGCTGCAAAGCCCTGGAGCTGGGCAGGCGACATCACTCTCTCTCCTCAGGGTTAGCGGTGGCTTCAAAGACGGAGCAGCTTTTTCCTAAGTGCCTTTTTTCACTTTACAGAAAAATCTTATCTTCCTCACTTCTTTTTTTCCTCACTGTTACTACTACTATCATTCACCTATCAGCACTAACTCTATCCCAGCTCCTGAACTTCTCAGTGTGCGAGCTCTCTGAGCCTCAGTTTCCTCATCTGTAAAAGGAGGGTAGTAATGATATCGATTGCTGTTGTGCAGATTAAATTGGTTAATGAATGGAAGGTGCTTAAAACAGTCCCTAGAACATAGTAAGTACCAGGTCATTGCTATTGTTTGTATTATTATTACTGGTAGTAGTAGGGCGAGTAGTATTCCCTGTCACCAACACAAGGGATCCCAACACTGTTATCTTTCCCTCCCTTATATTAAGTCTGGGGTGAATAGTTCAGATCCCCATGTTAGGAGTCTGTGCTAGGGGACGGAAAGGCTTAGGACAAACTCTACTGCCTCTGCCCCGGGGACTTTACCGGAAGGTTTTCATCTTCTCTTGACAGGAGGCACTGTATTGAAAGTGTCCTTGTCACCTCTATAGTATTAATAACTACCAAATGTGACTAGAGAATCATAAACATGTCAGTGATTTGATTCCATGGGTTTACGTCATGATTGAAATAGTCAAGGTCACAAACAATGGGATAAAGGAAGTCGGCAGCTCCATGATGCCAAGCCAGATTTTCTCCAACTTTTCTGTAAGTGTACTTTTCAGGATTTTAGAGTCCTATATGTAGCGCCTGGGTTTGACGGATTAATTCCTCCCCGGCAACATGTTGTATTTTGAATAACATCCCAGTTAATGGATTGAATCAGGGCGATAAGAGCAAATGGCTGAAAAATGATGGCCTAAAAAAATTCCCAAACCTAAACCTCTTCTCTCAGAATGAGGTCCAGAGCTGTGGCAAGTAGACTGGCACACTGCTCGCTTCTTCTGCCCACAGTATCTAGTAACACTCAAAGGCTGTAGTTTTGAAATGATATTTTACCTAAGGTTTTAAAAAAAAGATAATAGAGGCAATCATCTAAATTCTTTTTTGCCCATCCAATAGTTGAAATCTTCATAAGCTCTAAAATGATGGTATGTTCCAATCACTGATGGTTTTACTTTATGGGATCCTGTAATTTCAACACGTCATAAACTAATTTATCCTTGTTTACCAGAAATCTAGAGGAACATCCCAGCACCAGCCAAAGTAGATGTGGTTAGAATCACTAACACAAACTGATTTACTTAACATTGTACACATTCTTCACGGGAGGGGAGGAGATGTGTTCAGAAATGAGTGACTGAAAAATGAGAATAATATTACAATATACAATTTTCTCAAAAATTAAGTATATCCTTACCTTGGCGTGGATGGAGTAGAACGGTCAGAAGAGAAAGTCTCGCTGGTGGGAGACTGACCCCGAGGCAACTCTGTTCTCAATCCATCATCCCCACTGGAGGGATCCAGGAAACTCCCTGTGGATGGTGAGGGAGGATCATGTCCTACTATTACCTCAAACAGACCCACCCAAAACCCAGAAGACTGTGCAATTGGTTCTTCACTCAAGTCCAAGTGAGGTAATCCATCTCATACCGTGATGTAATCCATCTGCACAACACTCAAAGTGAGGTGGGGAATTGAGAGTGGCATCCCTAGACTAGTTAACTCATTCCTAGTACAAACTATGGGAGAGAGGCTCAATCCCTTACTTTTGGGAGCCCCATATGGCCACCCCATCAGTGGTCAGTGAGTGACTCCCCCTTGCCATTCTTCCATACATTATCTCCCTGAAGCTTCTTCTCCTCTGGTGTCCTGGCCATCAAGGTGGGTTTTCGATTATACTCATCATCTATTCCACATGGTTCTGCCGCTAGATGGGGAAGATTCAGATGTCTGTGAGTGGAAGGCAGGTCGGGGGCAGGGGGAGAGTCCCTCACAATGATCTCGTCTCTGGATGAGACCACCTTACACTGCAAAGGTTAATTTCCTGCTAGTATAATTTTCCTACCTTATTAAGCTAAAAGAGGGTAATCTCCTTACAAGCTTTGAGTTCTATTTCAGAAAGCTGCCTTCAGTTACCATACTACCCTAGATAAAGTAGCTGCCCAAACCCTCCCTATCTCACTAATTAGATTTATTTTATTCTTGGCATTTAATATTAGCTAAAACTTACACAAACTTTTTTACATTGTAATTGTCTCTCTCTCGGTCTTCCCCCGTCCCCAACCCCACTAGAATGTAAGTTCCATGGGTACACAGGCATCACCTCTCTTAGGATATTCACTGCTTTATACCCAATTCCTATGAAGGTGCCTGGCACAAGGTAATAAGTTCCAGATCTTCATTTCTAATTCTTTATTGGTTTTATCACATGGGCACCTCAATGACAACTTGGAAAAAAACTCAATACTAGAAAGATGTTTCCAGAAAACCTACTCTTCCTCCTTTCTACCATTCTCGCCAGCTAGAAAATTCAGTCATCCTGGAAGTATCTTCTCTTTCTTCTCCTTTCTCCAATTCCCCACATTTCTATCTTCTTTCACCAATTCCTCCTCATTCCCCTGTGCCCATCTCACCCCCAGAACCCCCTCACCACATCTAATTGGCTTCCAACTCAAGCCAATTCCTCCTCCTCAGTCATTCCCCCTTCCCATGTGTAAGTATTACTACTTCTCTGAAGTCTTTTCCTTACCACCAAAGTTAGCAGCTGTCATCTCTGCGCATCGCACCATTGTGTGTCTTGATTCATTCAGTGCTTTTTAGGTCCTTTCAGGGTCTCACACTTTCTCAAGAACCTGATAAAAGGCATGGGTCCAAGAAAATCTATACGCATTCAAACCTTTACATAAAACATTTAAACCCTTTACTGTAACATGCGTCATGGTTATTTTGTTATAACTGTTTATTTATACACCTGTCTCCCTCACTAGATTGTAAGCAGTTCTAGGACAAGTTTGCATCATGTTTTATCTTTTTTCCTTTAATTCCTTTGTGCGTAGCACTGTGCTTAGTATGTACAAGGTACTGAGAAATACCAACAGACTGTCTAGTGCAATAGACTAATACAACATCTTCCAACTATCAACCTTGAGTAACATCTTCACAATTTTTGATATATCTGCTACAATTTATCTTATTATTACTTACCATTTGTGGTAGATTGTTTGCAAAATTATTGCCAAAGTTTCCTTCCACCTCAAAACACATGTGCCATTAACCTCCCCAAAAGATGTGAAGTGTATTTCTCCTCACCTTGAATCTAGACTTGTCCTCTCACTTGCTTTGACCAACAGAATGGGGCAGGAGTGATGTTTTGTGACTGCCAGGTCTAAGCCTTAAGAGACTTTGCAGCTTTCTTCTTCACTCTCTTGGGATCCATCCAATATGAAAAAGCCCAGACTACTAAATGATGACAGATCACACGGAGAGAGAGGCTCAGCCAGCTGCAGCTGTTCTAGCCACTCCAGCTGGGCTGCCAGACATAGGAGTGAAGCCATCTTGGACCTTCCAGCCCCAGCCACGTTCTCAAGTCACATGAATAATCCCAGGAGACATCACATGGAGAAGAGTCGCCCACCCAAGCCCAGCCAACCCACAGAATCTTCATAAGTCATTGTTTTCTAAGCCACTATGTTTTGGGGTAGTTTGTTACACAGCAATAGATAACTGATGCACTGCTTTTTTAAAAAATAAACTCTTTGTTTTCACTTAAATATATGTTAAAAGAAATTTTTTTCTCACTTCCATAAATAGAAAATTAGTGTCACTTTTTACAAAACTAAACACAATGAAAGAAAAACAAAGCAATGGTATTCACTTCTATCCAGATGCCTAGAGAAGCCTCTATATTAGTTCCTCCAAATGTCAGGGGCATTAAAGATACGTCAGAAGTAAACTGGAACACTCTCCTTGGTGTAAGCTGGACTGAAAGAAAATGGAATGAAAATAACATGCTCATTCTGAAACAAGATATTATTTAGTGCTCTGTCACCAAAAATCATTATCTTGCAGCCCTAGATAGTAATTAGTAATATAAGTGGTAAACAGCTATGGCAAAAATTGTGGGGAAGCTACTCAAATGACTGACATTTGGAAGATGCTGCATTAACCTAACACCTAAATATTGAGACAGGCAGCAGGCAGTCAACATTTTTAGTGCCTTCTATACAACACCACACTGCTAAACAGAGAGGGTCTGAATAAAAGATGAACGATAACGCAATCCTGTCCTAGAAATGCTTATATTCTAGTAGAAAAGACAGTATGTAAGCAAATAGTTATAACACATTAACCATGGTAAATGTAACTGTATTAGATTTAAACTATAAAGCCCATGGACTCAGAGTCCAAATCCGTAACATTTTGTGTAAAAGTTTGAGGGTAGATGGCTATTTCTGAGCCCACAACTTTCATCAGATTCTCAGAGCAGTCCAGTGGAAAACATTCCATAATTTAGGAAACATTGTGTTAAATAATGCATAGTATTGTGCTTGGTTCAATTGTTTCTACCTCAGGACTTTTCCAGATTGCCTAGACATTCTTTTTTAGTTTATAATTTTGAAATCAAAACTCTGAGCTTCTCTTTCCTCTATGCTTTTACACCTTTCTCACATAGCTATACAAAGGTTCTCTTAAATTCCCTGATGACCAGACTCCCTAAAGAGCTCTACCACATTTTAAACTCTTTGAAGCTAGAGACATGTCATATAACTTCCTGCCTTCCATTATCAATAAACATCTGTTAAAGGAAGAATAAACCTCCTTGAACTCTGGCAGGAAGTTTTTCCTGCTGTCTAGGACTGATTAAAAACGTACTTTCTATTGCTCAGACTATGAACACTGAACGTGTATTTAATTTCAAATGTGTGCATGATAAAATATTTGGAAGAAAAAGCACCAAGTCCTTCTTGCCATGTGTTCTGTGTGTATATTCATAAATGTCTGCCTGGACTGGCATTTGATGTCTATCCCCGTTTAGGTCAATGTTGACTATTTTAAACGGTGTGGGGACTGTGTTTATTTACATGCTGCATAAAGCAGCCATTGCAATGTTGTTCACACATGGGGCCTGGGGCCTCTCCTGGGCACGCAAGAGCTGCTGCTGATTTATGTTTTTCTCAGTGTTTCTTCTTTTATCCTATTCCTCCAACAAAGCAAATTTGTTTCTCTCTGGAACTTAAATTCAGTGGAAAATATAGACCTGTAAAATTTTAGTACTGTCATCATCAGAATTTTTTTTTAAATTTTTTAGCCATGTTGTCCACTGAGTGAGCTGAAGTCTCCTCTGTTCAAAGTTCTGGAAGGTTTGACATTTAAATTTATTCTAAAATAGTTTTTGCATGAAAAACCAAGAAACGGAGGATTGTGGTTTGTACCTTGGCATGGAATTTTATGTGAGTGGGAGAGAAATAGAGTGTGGTGTGGAAGCTGTCTGCGGGATGTACTGGCACTGACTGGGGCAGGACCGGCCGAGTGGCCAAACAAGCACATAATTCATATGACGAATTCTAGCTTTTGCCTAATCCTCCACCCCCACCCTCCTCACACATGACCAACATATATGGAAATGTTAGTAAAGCCGTCACCTCATTCTCTTCAAAATGACTGATTCACCTCATCCCCATGCCGGAACTTTTCCACAAAGGAAGGAGACCTTCAGGGCAGGAGGGTGCAAAGGGCAGCCAGTCAAAGTGAGAACCCCCGCAAAACTTTTTGTGAGGGGATAGAATTCAACATCTTTCATTCCATAATGTTTTCTAGTGGGAGTGCTTCTGAGCCATAGGAGCATCAGTGGTTTGGCTCTGAAAACATTTTACTTACATATATATAATTTTATGTATATATATGTATGCATATATGGTATATTACATGTGTATATGTATATATATGCATATACATATCCACATGTACATACATATATATACCCTCCAAACTTGATTTTTTCCTAAATACTTTTTAACCTAAACATTAACTTTTAAGGCATGTTTAAGTATCATCTAAATATACTCCTTGGTTACAGGTGTCCTACTTTAGTCCTTGAAACACCCTGTTCATTCATCTATATCTCTGAACCATTTTAATAACACTTCATTATAATTCAGAATTTGAACTGATTAGCCATGGTGTGACACAATAGTTTATAAAGACCTAACACACATCATGTGTGTGTAATAGAAAACACCTGACACTCGGAATGTATAGCTCATCTAATACAAAGTAGCACATTTTCAGGAGAATGCATCATAATTGGGTAACTGCCAGATGGATGCGAATGCCTACCTCCAGTGGCCACTCACAATGATTGCAACGACAGCCCTTGGAACAGCAGGCAGAGTTGTTTTCAGCCTAAACCTCACATCTTTTCTCTTAGAGCTTCTTCCAAAAGGGAGCAAAGTAGATGTGTACATGTGTGTGCGGGTTTCCTGCATTGAGGGTAGAAATTCTCGAAGTAAATGTTAGGCGGTGCCTGAGATGC